AGCTTTGTACCCGGAGACAAGGTATGGTTGTATAATCCCAGGAAGACCAAAGGGAAGTCTCCTAAGTTGTTTTCTCCATGGGAAGGCCCATATGACATAGTGGATCGTCTCTCAGACGTAACTTTCCGCGTAAAATGTGGTCGGCGAGGTAAGCCAAAAGTGGTGCATGCCAACAGACTTTGGCATTATCACGGTCCAGGACATTTCAGTTGGGACGAAGTGGACAACAGAACAAATGACGCTGCTGAAGACGTGCCACCATCGAAGAAGAAACTCTACTCAGTTTTGAGAAGGGAAACGGCAAAGCTCTTGATGAAGTTACTACTACTGATGTGACTGTTATCGACAATAGAACATTTCCTGATGAAGCAGATGAACTCCACGTAAAGCAGAAGCCAACGAGACGGAGACCAGTACGGAAGAAGATACGTCCCGTAAAATTAAGAGACTTTGTTGAATTGTAATTTTGTGTTTGTAATTCTGTACATTTAATTAAGTTATTGTTATAATGTAAGTGGCTATTGTTCGGGACAAACAATACTAAGGAGGGGGCATTGTTGCGTCAGCGAGGTCACGTGACTAGTATCACGCCACTCCCTCTCTCGAACCTTCGTGAATTATCGGAAGACTACTAGATATGTGTTAGTCTTGTATATATAAGACGTTGACAACGTGACGGGGCAACAGAGGTAATGAGTAATTGAATGTATGCGGACAAAATATTGTTGGCCACGTGAGACATAGCGTTGTTAAAGAGCGACTGTTGAAATTAAGTGTATCGTAAAGTTATATTCAGAAAGAATAAACCAGTTTTATTTAAGAAAGGACTTGTGTCGTTAAAGTTTCGTCGGAACGAATTTACGGAAAATTAACTAACGACTGGAGGCGTAACAATACATTCCAGCTCATACTAACCTATACAAACTTCCTTACCATATCTCTCAACTTGAGTACGACTTTCACACCCAAGGGTAGAATAAAAAAATGTATGCATTTACAGAGAAACTGTTATGGTATTGTTACGTCTCCGTTTGTTAATCGATTTTTCCGTAACTTCGTTCCGACGAAACTTTAACGACACAAGTCCTTACTTAATAAAACTGGTTTATTCTTTCCGAATATAACTTTACGATACACTTATTTTCAACAGTCGCTCTTTTACAAACGTTTTAACAGCGAACGTTAACTTCAACAATACGTCTCACTCTGACTGCAGTTCAATTACTCATTACCTTTACACACACATTACATTACCGTCACGTTGACACCCTCTTTTATATACCAGACTACCCTATATCTAGTAAATGCTAGAGCATTCGCCAAAGTACAGGATAGCTCTAGAAAGTAGAGGGCGTGAGAATAGTCACGTGATCTCGATGACGCAACAGTATGTAACTTTTGTCTAAGATAGAAAGTTAACACAAATTTACCATTCCACGCCCTCTTCACGAGAATATCAACTAAATAAATGCAGAAAACGTGCAGGAAAATATTACACAATTTACTGAATAAATATATGTTGTTTTTTAGCTAGTTAATGTTGAAATATAGTAAACATTCTTTTATTTTAGCAAGTTTATTTGTTCTATTTTTTGTGAATTGTTTGTTTGAAGTTAAGCACAAACTCACACAATTGGTTATCTGTGCTCTGCCCACCACGGGTATCGAAACCCGGTTTCTAGCATTGTACGTCCTCAGACATATCGCTGTGCCACTGGGGGCTTTTTGTGAGTTAACAATATTTTATAAAAACTATTTTGTAAGTAAAAAATGTTTTAATTTTGTTTTGTTTTTTATATAAAATGATCTCTCACAGAGGTTTATTTTGAAAAGTGGATTTACTTTACAATAACTTAGTGCCCTACTGGGTCAGTAGAAATTTTATCGACTTATAATAATAAAATTCAGGGTTTGTTCTAACAAAATCCAATCTAATAACAAAGGGTATTTATATATTGTAATTAGATTCATCATACTAATATAATTATTTTCAAGGGGAATAATGTGTCCTTGGTGGTAGACACTTAAAATTATCTCAAAATATAAACTTTATGATCTAACCGTTCTATAATGTTTTCAAACGAGACAATCTGGGCTTCCTAAGCACATACCTAATGAATAATTTAGGGAGAGTTCTAACTGACATCAATGGCAAAAAAGACAACGGACAACATTAACAAACCCTTCCAAAACGTTTATTTTTGTATCAAAATGGCCTAAAAAGTCCTTTAAAAGATAAAGAAAATATAGAAACAACTTGTAAATCATTCAAAATATTATTTACAAATTGCATGGTTATCTCACTCAAATAATGGGTTTATTTTCTTAGAAACAACAGACCCTTTTATACATTCTCAATTTCATTTTCCCACCTATAGACTGTAGAATTAGTTATAATTAATTATTGCAAGAATAATCACAAATACCTTAAGCTGGCAATTTTTTGAAGAATACCACAAATAAAGGGGGAAAAAAAAACATACATTTCTCCCTTTCAAGAAACCTAGCTAAAAATACCATAACCATAAAAATGTATTAAATTAATAAACACAATCATTGGTCCTTGTCCTGTTATGAAAAAAACACTTTTAGATCTCAAGTTCAGTATTCGAAAGTAATAGCGTCAAGTGATATAAATTTTAACAAAAAGTCAACTACTTAGCAAAGAATTTAAAAGATTTTTTCCATACTTACATGTACATATTAAGATCTTAAAATTTATATCAAATTTGTTGGGCTGGTTTCAATAACAAAAGAAGGAAATTTCTTTGGTAGGTGCAATCATATCAACAAAAGAAAAAAAATTAAGGCAACAAAAATATACATAATTTTAAATCTCTGGAACAACAAAATTTGCATTATAGGTACATATACATAAGTTTATTGCATGTTTTAGGTATCAAATCTTTAAAAGCCTGTCTGTGCTTGGGCTTTTTCAATATATCTTGTAACCTAAAAATATATGACAAAATTTAAAATATAAGGGACGTTACTGTCACAATCTTTCAATTACACATATTCATAAATGGGTACATTAGGAAATTTTAAATATTCAGAATATTCTTGAAATAATCTTACTAAAATATAGCATTAGCTGTCTGCATTTGTTTTGGACCTTCATTTGTTTAATGTTTTTTTTTAGAAAGTACTGCAGTTAAAATTAATATGCCAAAAAAGTATGCTAAGGGTTCCTGTATTTGTTAAATTCTAAATTAGACAATATTATTGAAAAGTGACATAAACTCTCTTAAGTCATTTATGGAAATGGGTTATCTTAAATGCACCTTTCCTTAGTTTCTATCACAGGATAAACTAAATCCAAATATAGGAAACATACCTTTTTTGTGCTTATTTTTCAACAAATAATGGAGTCAAACAGAAAGAAACTCCTTCAAAATACAAATTGTTCTTCCTATCTTAACATTATAGTTTGCATTTAATAACAAAAAATAATCTATGCATTACACATATTAGTTGATAATATAAATGAATGGCCTTAAAATAAAGATGGCCAAAAGATTTTGATTTTTGCTTACAGCCTTTCATTCTCAACTTGTGCTATTTCTTCTTTAAAGCCCAGTTCACGACATGGCTCAATTTGTTTAAGTAGTTTTTTTTTATAACCTAATATTCAAATAACATACAATTGGCACCATGTAGCTGCAAATATTTAGTACTATATATTGGCACACATTACATAAGATGTTTGTCCAAATTTGAGTTTTAAATCTTAACAAGATCAACTTTTTCCATAACATACCTTTAGAGTTTTAAACTGAAACTATGTTTTGATATCAAACACTAAGTGATTAGAACAGATTCACTGAAATATCTTAATGTAAGAGTGACAATTTCGTTTCAATGATTAATCTGCTAGAGCACAAGATGCATTAAAATTAACACTTAAAATAATAAAAGTTTTGATCTGTTGAAAAATAATGCACAGAAAGCAAAAGTCAATAAAACATTCATCTCTGTCACAATGTGGATATCAAACTAAGATACCCACTGTGTCAGGAATTCAACCATTTACACTGTCTTAAGTCAACATAAAAAGTATTGTATGAAATACTTAATAGTGACACTGCCTACTAAAATAATAAAAAAACTTGTTACTCTTTTAAGAGTAGAGATTTTCAAGTTTTCGACCGAGAAAAAAGTACAAAATCACAGGGAAACAAAAGTGTCAACTAGATATCACTTAAAGTGATGTAAGAGACACTTGCCTGTGTTATAAAGATGATAAATCTTTCCAGTTGTTTGATCAGGTCAAACGACAAGAAACTATCTATCAAATAGGGTAAAAAAAAGGAATTATTTTCTAGTTATGTCTTATTAGAAATCAATCTTAAATGTTACTGAGATCAATTTAAATATCACTGATGCCAGCCTAATGCTAGAAAAAGGAAACACATCACAAAATTCTCAAACAAGGTTTCTGTTCTCCAAACAGGTTCCAGAGAAGATTAGAAATTCTCACTGACCAGATTGGACAGAAATATTTGGGAGAATCAAGATAAGGAGGATCATCAGGCAGCATATTACGGCAGACTTTTAACCCATTTGGTGGCAGGGGTATGAGGAAGGCAACAAGATACTTTTGACATACATCTCGCAGGCCTAAAGTAAAAAATACACACACATTACAATGTATTAAGTGTAGCAAACCTCATTCCATTTTACACCAATCCCATCAATCTGCATTTGGAATCTTTGCTTGATCCTTTTTTTGCCCTGATTATCACTATCATAGCACATTCTGAAATCTGATATGGATAAGTGAGAATTCTAACCCAGAAGCTCGGAGAATAGAAACTTTCTTGTATTAGCTGTGTAGCATGTACCAGAAACAATGTTAGATGTGTTATATCTTTAGCCTGTGATTTAAAAATCAACAGTATTTAAACTTAAACTATACTAACATATATTTGAACCTTGGATTTCAGCAGCTTACAGAAAATGTTAACATTTCCAGATAGCTTAATTTTAGGTTCACCAGGCCCTTATATCACCCCCCCCAAAAAAAGAAAAACAACAGAGTAAAGCAAATGATTCTCCGATTCTCCATGAACATTTCTGATATTCCGGACAAAAGTAAAGAGAAATTAATGGTAAACATTCCTTATAAAAAAAAAGTAACTAGATTAATTATTTTTTAAATTCTGGCAGATCTGCGACATTTAAAATTATACAGTTGAAATTTATTAAGTTTATTTCACTGACAGATTTATGTTAAATAACTCTTCAACAATGTGTCAAGAGAAGGCAGCTCCATCATCGAGCCACTTTACTAGTAAACATTTTGCAGGTGCTATCTTTACATAAGGTTAGTGATCACCCCGAAGCAGCTCCACTAGCAAGTGAAAACTTGATGTATCACCACCACTTCGTTGTTTGCTGTCTAGCGATTCCTTGCTAAACTGACATGCTCGTTCCAATTCAGGGATTCGTAGGAGCAACTCTCCAAATTTACTGGGCAAATGAGGGTAATGACTATAAGTATAGGCCTGGAGAGCTTCAAGCACTTGTTTCTGGCAGGTTTGTACCTTATGTGGGTCCTTTAAGCCACTGACATCTAGAAATAAACAAAGAAGTCCATTAGTTTATCAATGAATCAAAAAAACAACAAACTATTACACATTATTTAAATAGTAGTCTAGAAATATATTTTTCATAAGGAAAAATAAAATCAGTGAAGCTTATAAGTGCAACTTCAATGAATATATCATTTTTATGGCAGAATTTAATTTCTAAAAAATGATTTGACATTTTCAAAGAGAACTATTTCAAGCAGTTAGATACTGTCATAAGTTTATAGTACATTACAAATGATACCCGTTTTGAAATTAAAACTTAGGTTTTGAAAGTTTTTGCCATCCTTCAATTAGAATAAAATATTTAATTTGTAACCTTTTGTGTTGAAATATTTCTCAGTGTAGAAATTGTAAAGAGCATATTCTTACTTGTAATAGAAATTCCCTTCATTTTTAGGTGTGGCATATTAAAGTCAAACTGATTACCTTGAGAGTGATTGAACAAGTTTGATGAATACCAGGAAATTCAACAAGGTAAATTTTACAGGGTGGTTCTAAATTTCTCTGAATAAATGAATTGGTGAGAATGAAATAAAGAGCCTGCTTGGGCACAATATAAAATAAAAATTAACAATCTGTATTTAATAACACAAACACAATGTGTTTACTTGCTTTGATGCTGGACTGTCACTTCTACTGAACTGTAAATGGCTTTCTCTTCAACTGTATCAGTCGAGATCACATACAGGATTGTTTAAATCCAAAATTCCTTGTTTAACAGGATTTATACAGAGTAACTAATGATAATCACATGACTGGAATGCATTGAGTGAAACTCATCAGCAATAGATATGATGAATATAGTGTGGTTGGAATACTATGATTATACATTTTTCTAATTCTAAGGGACTAGATACAAAATGTCTTGTTTGAAAATATACTAGGTCCAATACTAATGTCTCATGACAAGTATAATATAATAATGCTTCTCCAGCTTGTATAGGGTGACAGCCTAAGCCAAAAATACTCAGATTCTATTACTGAAAATAAGAATTATGGAATAACAATTATTATCATTAGTTATATTTGTTAAAACGTTTGGACACTACATGTATGGATAACAATTTAGGCAGAGAACAGACTATATATACCTGCTCTTAAATAGTTTATGAATGTTTGAAAGCTTAAAGAAATAACAGTTCAATGGACCATAACACTAATGAGATACAGTTTTACCATCATGCATCAACTAGGAAAACGGAAATGCTCATGGATTATCCTGTCATCTTATAAAAAGTGTTATTGCAATCAGGGTAGAGATATTTCTCATAAAAAGAATATGAGAAATAAGAAATTGATAGATGTTTAAGAAAGACCAGTATAAGATACTCTTATTAACATTAACAGTAACATGTAGTAAGAGTATAATTTAAATATAAGAGGCCAAAGCCTATAAAGTCATTATTATCTACTGGGAGTGCAAGTTGAAGTACTCTATTGACATGAAGTATTGAGCTAGTAGTAGTAGTAGAGAACTTCTCAACAGCTTGTAGTTTTCTAAAAGGGAAATATTAAGATCTCTTGGATTCAGAGCATGCAGGTATTAAGGGATGTCAACACAGTTTCTAACCTACAAGTGAGATTTTACTGACTGCAATCAAAGAATGATGTTAATAGTTAATGTAGATGATGTATATCTGTGACAACAGATGAAAGCAAGAAAGGTTGACACAATGACAAATGTGCTCTGCTTTGCAACAAGTTACTTTAGACCTAGCTGGTCTGCTTTAAGAGATAGTATGTGGAGAAGAAAGTGTTAATAGCTGTAGACTATTTCACAAAAAGAGTAGAAATGCCAATGGTCAGAACCTGTCTGATTCATTGACCATAAATTTAGTTTCTTGGTATACAGTTCTATATAATATAACTTTAATGGACAGGTGGCTGTTACGAGTTATATCAGTTAATATATGAATTTGTAAGATGACAAACACATTACACCATCCACACAATGACAGATATAACCAACTGGTTAGTAAATAATGAAGTAGCAAAATAATAATAAATCAGAGAAATATAATTTGAATGAAATAAATAAAAAATTTTGTTTCTTTTTTTGTTGCTGAGCACAAAGCTACACAATGAACTATCTGTGCTTTGCACATCACACATATTGAAACCCAATTTTTAGTATTACAAGCCATCAGACTTACCACTGACTCACCAGGGTGCTTAAAATAGGGAACATGATTTGAATAAAATGTCTGCGTTACTTCTTAATGGTATAAAGAGAAAGAGAACAATTACGTATTTCTAACTGGTAGTTTTTGCTTTTAATTGTATAAATAAGTGGGGATGTACAGAGCCTTGCAAAAGTATTCACCCCTACCAATAATGTCACATTTTGATGAAATACAAATAATGTAAACAATTTTTTTTAATGAACTTTTATTCAAAACTCTAGTGATCAAACTTAACACTTTTATGTGTGAAGGAGGTAGAATGTCAGCAAAACCAGCAAAAAAAATATATAAATTGAAATTTGCTGATTACATAAGTATTCAGCCCCCCAAGTCAGTTCTTAGTGGAAGCACCTTTGGCAGCAATTACTGCTGTGAGTTTTTCTGGATAGGTTTCTACCAGCTTTGCAGAATGGGATGGTGTAATTTATAAGATGACAAACACATTACACCATCCACACAATGACAGATATAACCAACTGGTTAGTAAATAATGAAGTAGCAAATGTCTGCAGTGTCATTTACATGCTTTGTCGCAAACTCCATAAGAGATTAACGATTTTTTTTTTGAAATGACTTCTTTCTTGCCATTCACCCATTCAGGCCAACTTTGTGTAGGGACCGGGATATTGCTCCAATACTGACAAGTTCATTGGGGATCATTGATAGACTGCAACATTCAAGTCTTGCCATAAATTTTCTGTTGGATTCAAATCAGGACTTTGACTGGGCCACTCCAAAAAATTCAGTTTCTTCTTTTTAAACCACTCCAGAGTGACTTTGGCCTTGTGCTTCAGGTCATTGTTCTGCTGAAATGTGAACTTTTGACCCAGTTTTAGATTCTTGGTTTACTCAAGCAGGTTTTCCTCTAGGACTCGCCTGTACTTTGCACCATCCATCTTCCCCTCAATCCTGACAAGCTTCCCAGTCCCTGCTGATGAGAAGCATTCCCATAACATGATGCTACCACCACCATGCTTAACAGTTGGGATGGTGTTGACTGGGTGATGTGCTGTGTTAATTGAGCAAGCACCAGAGGTAACTCTTTGAAGTTAGACCAAAAAGCTCAATTTTGTCTTTTCTGACCACAAAAGCTTCTGCCACATGTCTGCAGTGTCATTTACATGCTTTGTCGCAAACTCCATAAGAGATTAACGATTTTTTTTAAATGACTTCTTTCTTGCCATTCACCCATTCAGGCCAGCTTTGTGTAGGGACCGGGATATTGTCGATGTATAAACACTGATTCCCATCTTAGACATGGAATGTTGCAAATCTTTCAAAGTCACTGTTGGCGTCAAAGTGGCATCCCTGACCAGTTTCCTGCTTAGTTTGGAAGGGTGGCCTGATCTGGTTAGTAACTGGATGGTATGAAGCACATTCCACTTCTTAATGATAGACTTCATTATACTCAAAGGGATAATCAGTGACTTTGAAATTTTCTTGTAACCTTCTCCTGATCTGCATTTCTCTACAATTTTATCCCTGACTTGTTTGGAAAGCTCCTTGGTCTTCATGGTTGGTTTGTGGTATCACTATGCGAGTTGTGGCTTAAATAGATGTATTTATTTTGAAGTCAAGTTAAACCACTTTGATTACACACAGACAGAGACCATTACAGTAATTTTGCGACTTTCCAAAATAATCTTTTGCACCTGAACTGATTTACGGTTGCCATGGCAAAGATGTTGAATACTTATGTAATTGAAAATATTCTAATTTTTTTTGAAAATCTAACTTACTTACCTAATATCAGAGTTTGTTTTAGCTTTCTCAGTTTGGAGTAGATTGTGCAGATTCTAAATATAAAATCCCACTTGAACATTTCATGATTGCAAGCTCAGGTGGCAACAAAATGTGGAACTTTGCATGGGGATGAATACTTTTGCAAAGCACTTTACATATCATAATGCTAATGCTATATTTCATAATTGTAGTTACAGATTTAGAAACAAAAAATTTCCTTACCTGAGGTTAACAGAATGATGACTTTTAGACAAACAAACTCACGCTTATCTAGTTGAAGTTTGCGTAAATGATCTATTAAACTTAACATGCGCTCTATTACATGGCAGGTGCCAGATTGCTGTGCTTGTTGTAGATTGACAGATTTGTCACGTGAGATGCAGACTTGATTAGATGTAGACATGGACCGGTAGCAGCAACTTAGTAACAGCATTTCACACCAGGAGTTGATTAGAAGAGCAATCTGATCATCCCTCTACAATAAGCAGAAATTGATACACATTTCTTTCTTGTTTCAACAACAAATTATATATAACTAACAAAAATAATAAAGTGCTCAACTTATCTTTAACCTTTGGTTTAAATTAGAGTATCTACCATTTTACAGATGAAAAGGCTTCTTACTAAAAAGTATGCATGGGTCTATTTTAATATAGTAATTCAACACTCATGTTGCTTGTCATAAGCCCCACAGTGGCAAGTCTGAAGACATATAATACTAAAAAATGGGTTTTTGATATCCGTGGTGGGCACAGCACAGATATCCCGGTGCGTACATTTGTGTTTAACACCAAACAAACACTATGTCATAAAAATATTTATTTAAGAGTATTTTTTTTATTTCAAATTAAGCTAATATGACAGATTCTAAATTCAGTAAAGCTACTTTCAAGTAACTTTCTGTCACATTAGGACCATTGTAGACATTGACTATAGCATAGTTAAGTTTATAATCAAGAAAAAAATATTAAAATGTTATAATTTTATTCAGTAGTTTTAAAAATTACACAATTAAATTATTCAAACTGAACTGCATGTTTTTATTATCACTGGATATAAAGACTTTGGCAATCTAATTTTTGCACATATTAAATGCTTACTTGGACTTCTTTAAAAAGAGGCAAACTTTTACACCACTTTACTATCTTATAAAGCCTATCATCGGCAACCTTACAGAGCTTTGTAAGGAAGTCACCATCTGTGGACTTGTGTTCCAGATCTGGGATTTTAGTACTCTCTTTTTCTGAATAGTGCCACAGATGTTCTACTGACATGATGTCATGAATCAGCTGTGGAATAAATGGTGAAGAACTGTTTGATGTTGAGCTGTGATAACCACCTGAAAAACAATATAGTGTGATCAAAACAATAGGTGCAATAAGTGTTTTATCAGTATTTAGATAGCATGTGTATGTCCAAAATGTGCACTTTTAAAGCCTGTTCCAGCAAAAAAACATGAAATTTTTACTCAAAGACCTGGAAACAAAGCTCTACAAAATCTTTGAAAATTTGCATGAATTGGAACCTGAATAATATATCAATTTATCTGAAGTGATTGTGGACATGATATGCTGCATGGTTATGGTCTCTCTTTATATGAATATATTATGATTTTCAAAAAAAAAAAAGGGGTAACACATGAAAACTTTTTAGAAAAATAATAATAATATACTAAATGAACTTATATACATTAACATGCTTCATTTGTAATATCTTAGAGTACATATATCAATAAATATTGTTATTATTTACATACAATTTCTCTGTATAAATAAACAGTTTCATATATTTTCAAGTAATTAAACATAAAATGATTTCCTCTTATCTGAACACTGAACTTGACATAAAATAAAAAACACGAATATTAAGTTATAGTTTTATTGAAAATATGCATCACAGATCAAAAATGAAAAAGGAATGTATACTTTAAACAGTAAATAATTAAACATAATACCAATTGGGAAAAACAATGCATGGTGAATTACAGATAACTTATTTAATGTAAAGCAAAACAGAACACTGGTTAATATGTAAAGAAACTGAGAAAGATTGATTTAGTATCTCACAAAGGAGGGAGAGCAGCTGTGAAATTGTAGGGAATAACTGTTTTTATAAAGAAAAGGGAAGAGAGTTATGATTTGATTGTAAAGAATAATCCATATGGTATATTATAAAACAGAGAGAGAGAGTTTGGACCATGTAGAATGAATAGCTTGATGTACACATGGCACAGCAGTTAAATTATACACTATGATTAGTTGTAGTCCTAAGTACAAAAAACAATAGTTTCATTGTAAATAATTAGTTTGATGTAGTGTACTATAGTAAGTACAATGTTAAAAACTACAAAGAATGGCTAGTTTGATGTACTACTAAGAAGGGAGAGCTGTGAATTAACATTACTGAAGTAGTTTGATGTAATATAATAATAACAATGTTAAAACTGTAGAGATTGGCTAGTTTGATGTACTACTAAGAAGGGAGACCTGTGGGTTAACTTTACTGAATTAGTTTGATGTAGTATAGTATAATAAGAACAATGTTAAAAACTGTAGAGGATGGCTAGTTTGATGTACTACTAAGAAGGGGGAGCTGTGGGTTAACTTTACTGAATTGTTTGATGTAGTATAGTATAATAAGAACAATGTTAAAAACTGTAGAGGATGGCTAGTTTGATGTACTACTAAGAAGGGGGAGCTGTGGGTTAACTTTACTGAATTGTTTGATGTAGTATAGTATAATAAGAACAATGTTAAAAACTGTAGAGAATGGCTAGTTTGATGTACTACTAAGAAGGGGGAGCTTTCGTTGAGCTGTATTGCATTAGACTGATCTGGTACAAAGGAGGGGAGCGGATGTTCAACCTGCGTAAAATGATGTGATATATTCCAAAGTAGAGAGTGAAGTGATTATATAGTCTGATGGAGTAAAATGAAAATACGTAGTGGCTACACTGCATCAAATTACTGATTGTCAAATGAATAATTATGTGAAGTATAAAAATTAAACAAGAAATTTACATGGTTGGGTAATATTTTGTTGTTGTTTTCATAGTATAATGTAGGAAGGAACTTGTTAAACTCTAAAGATATTTTAGTTTAACTCAAAATATGTAATATATTTGTGGTTACAACTTACACTGGGTAAAATGGCAGATTCTCAGAGGGGAGCGTTAACCATTATAAAATGCATCTTGTGTATTTGAGCTTAGCGATACAAATGTAGTAAATTAGAAATATATTCAGTTGGAAGCAAAAAAAAAATCGATAATGTTTAAGATCACCATACCTTTTCTGTAGTTCTGGTATAACTTTTCCGAGTCATGATGAAGCGAGTTTGTGTATGCAACGCCCATAGCGTTCTCAGGTCTTACTTGAATCCAGGGGTCATTTACAGACTGACTGGGAAAAGGATATGAGCACTGATAGGTACTTCGACCCCCTCTTGTGCGGTCTTCACGGATCGCTACAAGTGACGCAAGATAAACTTTTCGGTTAAGCATTCTTTTTTTATATATATTCAGTAAAACAAAAGTATTTGAGAATAAAGTGTCTGATGGCAGTGATACTAATAAAGTGTTGAACAGGAGGTTAAGTATTAATAAGGATGAATATGATCAACAAAAAATAAAACCATAAAAGATAACATGTTTGTTTGTTTGTAATTAAGCACAAAGCTATACAATGGGCTATCTGTGCTCTGCTCACCACAGATATCGAAACCCGGATTCTAGCGTTGTAAGTCTGCAGACATACCGCTGTGCCACTGGGGAGCAGATAACATCTACAAATAAAAATAGTCAGAAGAGGCATTATTATAATAAAAAATGTATTTTTGAAAAGTCTCACACAAACAAGTTCCTGAAGGTAAAAAACTCTAATACTGTCACTTGTTTGAGTGAAACTTTTTAAAAAGTACAGTTTTAGCGGGCGTAAAGCGCTGTGAGCGCCAAGAACGGTCGCCTTCTATGGGAGTGTGGGAGCATGTCCTCACTTGATTTTTTTTTAATTCAGTGAAGCAAAATTGTGTAGTCTGGAGTATTTTCTGAACCGATGTAATGCCGAATTTGACCTGTACCCAGCCGGTTAAACAACCACAATGCATTAGAGAAAGCTACTAATTTGACCAAAACGCAAAATTTTGTACTTATTTATTTCCTTTTTTTCTTAATACATATAAAGCATGAGAATAAGCCCAGATGCGCGACTCATACGCTCACTGGATGAGCTTTGGTGGCATTGCGGTATGTGATACCAAAGACATCGTTATTGAATATCTACCGAACCCTTTTAGTTGGATTTTTGCTATGAATTTTTTAACAATGTGATGGTTTTATATGTAGTTAACATGAAATAGGCTTGTAAGCTCTAAATATTTGTATCAACATACATAATTTCACTATTTTTGATTGAAAAACCAAAACCCCTTGAACGACACATTCGTTTATCTTCTGCTACAATTACAGTTATGGAAATTGTTTCCTGTTGGATGGGAGACACTCAGAGTTGCTAAGTTTTGCAATAAAAGCAAGGCTCTCAAAACAAGCCACTTTTGAGCCAATCAACGTTAGTCAATGCAGTTCTGTTAAAATGCTATAGTTATATATATTGCTACATCTCCGTTCGTTAGTTAATTTTCCGTAACTTCGTTCCAACGAAACTTTAGCGACATAAGTCCTTTCTTAAATAAAACTGGTTTATTCTTTCTGAATATAACTTTGCGATACACTTAATTTCAACAGTCGCGCTATAACAACGAACGTCTCACGTGCTCAACTTCAACAATACTCAGTTCAATTACTCAGTCTCCTGTTGTCCCGTCACGTTGTGAACGTCTTATATATATATATATATATATATATATATATATAT